AAACAGACCAGGGGGACGGGGAGCAAAGCAGAGCAAAGCCGCGGAGCACGCGGGCAGCGGACAGCCCAGACGCGTCTGGGCTGCCCGCTGCCCGCGTGCTCCGCAGCTTTGCTTCCTCTCCCTGGTCTGCTGGAGACCAGGGAGACGGCCCGTTCGTAACTGCGGATCCAACATAAGTCGGATCTGAGTAACTCGGGGACTGCCTGTACATGCCTTTTTCCAAAAGGGCTCTTTCGGAAAAAGGCCTCTTCCTTGTAGAAAGAGGATTATCAATGCCGCAAAACCCCTTCTGCTCTTTCTATATACTCTGTAGTGTAGACATACCCTGTAAGGCGTAAACCCACCCCTTTCAGTGTTTTGAGTTGTATGCATCTTGCACACATGTAAGAGAAAAGGTGAGGCTAAAGTTGCCAAAGAAAGGCTAAATGGCCACATCTGGTACATTAACATTGTGTGCGCATTGTTATATATTACACACACAAGAATCCTGTTTTGCACACACATGCATACATTACTTGTACCTATATGCTTTGCTGAAAACAATCAGAATTTACAGTGTATTTTTACATATCTTTACTATCAAAAAATACAATCAAAAGCATCTCTTCAAATTTCCCAAGACTCCATTTCAGCAAAGGGATAATAATAGAATTAAACACTGCTTTTGAAAGGGCTACAAAAGTGTTCTACATTAAAGGCTGCATAACAATTTGGTTCTCTGCAGATGGCCTTGATTATCCAGTTGCTCGGACTGTACAAATGAACTCTAATATGCTTGACAGTAGAACTTTATTAGTCATCTTTCTCATTTTGTTGCCTTAAACAACAACCCCTTTACCCACTGAATAAAAATCAACCTACTTTAAAAACTGTCCAAAATCTTCACAAATGCTTTCACAGCCAGGCCATTTGCAAACTCCATGGCCATAGAGAGTATGAGAGGCCCCAGTCTCCTCATGTGACGAGCTGTAGCAAAAGAATACGGCATCAGATTCATCTCAAAAGCCATAATCGTTGGAGGCTGCTAGCGCCTGTCAGGTTACGATCAGTGACAAACAGGTCAAAACAGGTCAATTCAGCTCAGAGCAGTCAGAAAAATTTAATCGTTCTATTGAATAGTTCAACTGCCAAGGCTAGATGATGTTCCAATTAGAGAAGAAATAGAGCCAAAGATGACTGTTAATAAAGGATGAAAAAATAAGATGACTGTATAATATCATATGCTAATTCTGCCATATGACCTCAGTGTAACATTTTACTTATAAATAAAAAATACGCTCAGAAATGATCAATTCTGAAAAAATATTTAAGATGGACAGCAGGAGCATATTGTGTTTCTGTACAATTTTTTCGATTTTCTTAGGGTTTTATATATTAAGCTGATTTACATTAGTAAATATTTCTCTTTACAAACATTGTTTCCATTAGCTGCTCTAGTTTTCATGAGAAGAAGCCCATATTCCATTTCATTTTTAAAGAAAAGTTTGCAATATATTTATCCTTATGGAATTATCAAAGAAGTTTTAAGTTTTCCCCTTAGAGAGCTCAATATTTGTTATATATTCCAAAGGAATCTACCAACTTCTCCCACATATAATCATCAAACTAATCTTAATTAAAGTAACAACATAGAAGTATCTAGAAGTATTCCATCTTTGAAATAATAAAGTTAACAGAAAACTGTTCTGATACTCAAATGAAGACCCCAGACATTGTCCAATTATAGTTTCCTGGCTTAAATGTTACAATAATGTGGATGTTTCTTCGAAAATACAATTGTTTACTATTTACTGTTTGTTGTAGAGAAGTTTAAATTTACCTTACATAAGAGATCATCAGTATCAGTCATTTTAAGCACTGAAAGGTAACAAGGAGGAGCCAAAAAAATCTTTACACTCAGCCTGAAAAGGCATATTTCAAAAGGATCATTTAAAGCCAAAATCTGCTGTGTTACAATGTCACAATGTGTACAGTAACTACTGGAATGACTCTAATGAATTAAATCAATGGAATTGCTTCTATGAACATAAAGACAAAATTTGGCCTTTCCTGTTATATCTTCTCTAGCTCTTTGCTCGAAATTATCAAGATAATTTTTTTACAACAGCACAAACGTAATTATGCAATAGTGTGTATGGATTCTCTAAGGTGAATTATATCTTCAGTCTGTTAGATATCCTGCTTATACTTTCTGTGAGGAGACCAATTTAATACTGTGGGCCTCAACATGGCTTCTAAATCAGAAAGTGGCCTCCCTGAAATCTCCAGCAGGGTGTTTCTGCTGGCTGGCCAAGTTAAAGGAAGAGTGTTTTATGGCAGTGGGAGAGGAGATGAAAACTGCTTCTAAAGGGGGTGGCATCGGTCACTGACTCATCCCCTGGGAATGCAAGGTTTTAAAAGGGGGTAAAACAGGACCCACCATACCTCCCTGTTAAGTTGTAAAATTTCAAGTTTGGTCAAGACCTTCTGTAGGCACTACGCTAGCTGCCCCCTTTTTAGAGAGGTGGGAAGGAATTTTTCCCTTACCATCATATTGGCTTGGGTAAAGTTGGGGTTTATTTGCCTTCCCCAGTGCAGAGTTCAGAAAGGGCTCTTTTTTATGCTTGTCAGGAAGAGTGGTAAGCCATATATTATGACTTTTTATGTAAGTGTAGGGCAGATGTCCAGTGCAGGCATTCCATGGGAAAGGTTTATAGTGACTGGATAAATGGCTTGTAAAAGGACTTTTAAAAAGTGTTTATAAAAGGAATGAACAGGGGGTGGTTGGAGACTCCTATGATTGGTGTGGCATAGAGCTAATCTCCCCCTCATTCTTATAGCACACCTAAACCCTCCTATATGAGGTGAAGATGGTAAGGTCCTGCCAGTAGATTTGCTGGAGGGACTGGCATGGGAAAAGAGAGGGAGCTGGTAGAAGCATCCTGGGTAATTATGTAATAAATATAGGGTTATCTGTAATGTACACTGTTATCTGCCAGGTAGTTCAAGACTTCTAGTAATAAAGCTGTGACCTGATTAAGCCCATTATCAAATGTCTCCTCTCCTTCTTTCAGCTTAGCTAGACAATGTAGTTGTTTGCCCACAAAGCATCTATAAATCTCCATCTACAAGTATCAGCCAGCACACACAAGTTATTGGTTGCATGTCTAACTGTCACCAGTAGAGGCTGATCTTCTCTAGTCCAGCACTTTCTGGTCCATAATATTTGTGGTCCAGCGTGATTTTAATTAGCCGGATGTCTACTTGTGGCCAAGTTTTCCATGGTCCCACAAGGTTTGTTTATAGCCACCAGTCTTGAGTCTCAAATGTTCTAGGCTATTATTTAGGTCTAATTTACCTCTACATGTCTTCTCAGAGCCCAGTAAGCAGTGGAAGTGTTGGTAATGCTGCTAGACAATATTGACCTCATGTGGTTCGGCAAATTCACTAGTTTGGCACTGGTCATTTCCCAAGAGTGCCAAACTAGAGAGGTTCAACCTATAGTAACAAAAGTTCACTATAGGTGTAAAAATGAAGTCACGTTATTAGGGTACTAAAAGTGGCACTTGCAAAATTAGAGGTGTTTTGTAAAAAATATGCTATGTTATTAAACATATTTGAAAAATTATGATTATTTAATCAACCTTCAATGTTCTGTATTTTTTCTGATTTTGTAGTGAAGACACTTGCGATTTCAAATAATACAAGTCATGATGAGAAATAATGATGTCTGTCTTTATTGTATGATCAAAAGTGTAACAAAAGCAAAGTTTTATGTCAGATGATAACACAGTAGGAATCTCATCAGAATTACCTGTCTCGCCTTGCATTTAGAACTGAAGACTGTCCATTCACTATGGAATGATGAGTTATTGGTGGTGATGCTTTGGAAGTGGTGGAGGAGGTAGTAGAGGAGGAATTGTTAGTAGAGAGGTCTAGCCCTCCATGTTTAATGCCATTGTCTTCCATACTGTGAACTCCAGTCACTTCTTTCCATAACTGCTGAATCTCAGCAGGACTTAAGCCAGCTATAAAATGAAAGAGAGCCCCACTAATATAACAAAGTAAGCGTTTCATATAATGAGCTCAGTGTTATTAATGGATTAATGCCAACAATAAAGGTGATGCTGTTTTTCCAGCACAATCGACGTGTAGTAAAAATTTCATTTTTTCTGCATTGCCATCCAATTAATTTAGCTGCTTTTCTCTTGTGCTACAAACAGTCAATTAAAAAAAGGTCACCAATTTTAATAATTTTATGCTTCTTCTTAAAACACTTGTTCAAGGATCAAAGAGGGCAAACTACAAAGACCAACTGGAGGCTCCCGTTTGAAAAAAACAACGATTAAAGGAAGTTTTAAAGGAGATATTCATTGTCTGTAGAATCAATTTCTTGATACACAGACATGACTCAGTGGATCCAAAGTTCATTCAGTTCTTCAGAACTACTGCTTAATCAACAATGTAATGGAAATAGAAAAAATATATATATTCGATCACACTAAGGAGTGAAGCATTAATACACTTTTAAAACGAAAACCAAATAAAACGGACGGGACCAAACTGAAATCAATGAAATTTCAACAGGTTTAAAGACAGGGAAGAATTTGACCCACAAACTTCAGTCAATGAAGACAAACTTAAATAGTTTCATCCACTAATTAATTAGCACTTCTAATTGCCAAAATTTACCCAGTTTAAAATGTAGTTTAAATGGACAAAAAACAATTATTTCGATGAGTAACTACTCTAACGAACAACACAGGGCCAGTTGCTCTATCCCCTGAATCAGCCAAAAGGGCAACAGAACTGATCTCTTGAAGATTCATTCTGCAGGGATGAATCCCCAAGAAAAGTAGTGTCATCACTGCAGTTTCTTTGCTACCCTTTCTCCCTACTCTGTTATGGGAAGGAGACTGAAGGGCCCGATCAGGTGAAAGGTGTAGCCCTATGCCTCAACTTCACCAGGCTCTCATGGATCCACGGGCATTATTCAGAAAATCTTGAGGCTTTTCTAATAGATGACTTGGAGTGTCTTGTACCTGATTAATCCCATTACTGGAGCTGTAAAGGGGGATTAAAGTCATCCTTGCCCTGTTCTGCCAGTTGTGAACCAAGTTGGGCATAGCAGGGATAGAGCCTGGGAGAAGGACCACAATCCCTTATATGTTGCATTTATATATTTGTGGTCAGGACTATGTGACTAGTGTCTGTGTTTGAACCATAAAAATTAAAAGGAAGTGTTGTCAAGTATTGTCCTTCACTCATACATTTTAGAAGAAAGTACAGAAGATTCCATCACAATTTGTTGTTGGTTTGCAGGGAAGGACTGAAAATATGGGTAAAATCAAAATATGAGCACTTTCCCCTGCCCCAGCTATTCTGCATCTTACTTAGGTTGGGGCCTTTCTTCTCAGACTTTGCACCAGTTAGCTGTTGATTTTGTCATCACCAGAAAGAATTACCTCAATGTATTACTTTTGAAGACCACTTAAACATACATAGAGCAGAATGAGAAAGCCCACTAACTTAAGAGAGATTTTAATGCTGCACTGTTATCACACCCATGCTTTGTAGATTGCACTGGCTACCAATTTATTTCTGGGTATTTGTTTTTCCATGCAGCTGAACAGATGGATTTGATCTATACAGTCTGGCTTGGTTTGGGTCATGGCTGTCATAACTACCACTCTTTTATGTACAATTTCAACTGAAATCAACTAAAACACTCTTGCTCAGAGTAACTAGAGTTGCATGGTGGAAGGGAAAGGTGTTCTCAGTGGATGGCCTTTGACTCTGGATTTAGCTTCTCCCCTAATGTTCTGACAAAGCTCAGTTTACTGACCTTCAGAGAATGATGAAAGGTTCACCTATTCGTTTAGGCTTTGATTGAACTGGTGGCTTTAATGGGTGATTGAGAATCTTTTTCAGGAGTTAAAGAGAGGTTTTTCATTGACTTTTTGGCAAGTCTGATCTTTGCTAGCTAATATTTTATCCTGAATGTACGAGTTCACATTGCTAAAAATAGGTGCAATTTAAAACTCACTGAAAAATAAAGTTCCTCAAAATCTGTCAACAACTATCTTATTAGGAAGCATGTAAAAGCCATGAAAACCAGACTGCGCACTTTGCTAATCATTTACAGAAATATCTTGCTGTACAGGTAGCCAGAAAATCAACAGGATGGAAGTTATCTTAATTTTTATTTCATTATTCTGTATGATAATTGCTATATTTACTCCTTCTTTATCTTACATACTAACATACAGTTGTGTCCTGGGTTAATTACGAAGTGACAGAATAAGTTGATTTGGATATATGCCTCAAATATTGGAATTTATATGGTATGTATAGCTTTACTATTCTTACTGAATCAAAGTAACTGAAGACAACAATGGTGGCAATAGTTGTAACTCTTTTGAATGAAGTTAAGTAATTCCTACATAGTTTATATAAGTTAAGTAATTCCTACATAGTTTGTAGCAACTCTGCAAATAATTCATGTAATTATTGTAAAAAGGAGTCATTCATTAGTATGATGATCACAGATCACATCAAATAGTAATGGAATCAGTTTGGAAATGGGAGAAAAATGATAAACATTTCCTTTTCTCTTCCATCGGTAACTTTCTGTCAGTGAAATAATTCCCCATTTTTATTGGTGTTTCAAGAACAAAACATACTTTGAAGCAATTAGAATGAAAATGTCTTCCCCATTCTCAGTCACAAGGAAATTTGATAGGACCAGCAGGTGGAGGACCTTTCCTTGGTCCCCAGGGGAGGATATATAATTGGCTGTGCAGGGACATTTTCTTCTTCCTGTTGCCACTCTCTGATCCCAAGCCTTTCTGCCACTTATTGACCAATAAGTGGAGAGTGTGGGGGGGAGGGGTGTGGACATCAAGTGAATGGCCTCGCTTTTGTGTGCCATACTTTATTTAACACTCTCCTAGGTATCCAATGGTCAGTCACCTTCCTGCCCCACACTCCCTGCTTTATAACTACAGTGTTGTTATCTACATTTTCAATAATTTTTGGGTCTGCTTGGATTTTTGGGGTATCAGAAAGTAAGTTCTGGTTCTGGGTATTTTAAGCAACATGTCCTTCAGCTTCCTATTTGCACTGGCCTTTTCACAGCACCATTTATGTTAAAATAAGAAAGAATAAAAGTGTGAAAGTGAGGAAGTTAATAGGGCATAAGGTCACTTAATACTGTACCAGGCCCAAAAGAATGCTCGGTATTTTGAGGAGAGTTTACATAAATTTTCCCTTCCCTTCTTATTCCCTTCCCCATCCCCTTCTTTCTGTCCCTGTGATTGTGTTTATATATTAAAATGTACACACTTAGACTGGGGTTGAAATGGAAATAGGAGACAGATTAGTTGAGAGCCCCTGTGTAAGGATAAAAGGGGGTAAAAAGCAGGGGATGTCATGTTAGGGCCCTACTACAGACCATCTAAACAGGAAGAAGAGGTGAATGTACCTTGAAAAAAACCCAATACAATTATCCAGACCACAGGACTTGGTGATGATGGGGGACTTGAACTACTCAGACGACTACTGGGAAAATAACACAGCAGGGCAAAGATTATCCAATAATTTCTCAGAATATATTGACAACAATTTTTTATTTGGAGAAAGCTACTAGGAGGGTGGCTGGTCTAGATTTGATTTGGACAAATAGGGAGAATCTGGTTGGGAATTTGAAAGTGGAAAGCAGCTGGGGTGAAAAAGATTATGAAATGATGGAGTTCATGATTCTTAGTAGAAGGGAGAAGACCAAAATAAAGACAATGGATTTCAAGAAGGCAGACTTTATAAAACTCAGGGAGTTGGTAGATAATATCCCATAGAAAGCAAGTGTAAGAGGAAAAACAATTGAAGAGTGTTGGCAGTTTTTCAAGAAAACATGAAGGGTACAAGAGAAAACTATTCCATTGCATAGGAAAGATATGAAATATGGCAGGAGATCACCTTGGCTTAACCAGGAGCTCCAGAAGATCTAAAAATCAAAAAGGAGTCCTACAAAAAAGACTAAACAAGGTCAAATTACAAAGGATGAATATAAAAAAAATAACACAAGTATATAGGGGCAACATTAGACAGGACAAGGCACAAAACAAGCTCAAAATAGCTAGAGTAGTGGTGGGCAACCTGCGGCTCAGAGCTGCATGTTGCCCGTTGTGGTTTTATGTGTGGCTCATGAGACATTTCGTTTATTGTTGTTTATATGTGCAAGCAGCTATAGCACATTTAAAGCTATAGCAACAGTGGTGGTGGCCAGAGACCCAGCCCTTTAAATTGCCATTGATGCTCCATGTGGTGTGTTCTGGGCAGTGCTGCAGGGCTGGCAGGGAGGAGCAAGCCCCGGCCCTTTCTTCCTGAGGCCCCACTTCTTGTGGGAGCATGGGGCTGCCTCCCTCCCACCTGGCCCAGAAGTCTGGAAAGTCTGTCGGCCCCCTTGCCCAGAAAGATAATGGTGCAAATAACTAAGGAATCAATTTGCAAACATCTGGAAAGATAATAAATACATAACAGTGAGCATGGACTGGTCAAGATCAAATCATGTCAAACCAACCTGATATCTATCTTTGATAGGATAAGGAGCCTTGTGAATGAGGGAGAAGTGGAAGATATCATATATCTAGATTTTAGTAAGGCATTTGATACAGTCATTCATGATTGTCTCACTAACAAAGTAGGGAAAATAACCTAGATGGAGCTATTATAAGGTGGGTGCATAACTGGTTGGATAACCATTCGCAGAGAGTAGTTATCAATGGTTAACATTCATGTTGGAAGGATATAACGATTGGGGTTCTGCAGGTCTCAACTGGAGTAGTGTGTCCAGTGCTGGACACCATAGTTCAGGACCAATATGGACAGACTGGAAAAAGTGCAGAGAAGAGCAACAAGAAATGATTAAAGGATTAGAAAATATGACCTTTGAGAATAGATTGAAAGAATTAGGTTTGTTTGGTCTGGAAAGGAGAAGACTGAAAGGGGGCACGATAACAGCTTTCAAGTA